AATGTAGGGGGGTCCGGGGGCATTCTCCCCCGGGAAATTTTGTATTTTTAAACCTTCAATGACGCATTTTCCTGCACTTTGATAGGCAAAATTAGGCGTAACGAAGAATTATTCATTAACGCTTAACGCTGAATTCAGGATGACAAATAACGTTTTATGTTGAATTAAAACGACCCATAACGCTTCACGAGGAATATACTGATAACGCTTAACGTTGAATTAGAGCGGGCCGGCAACGATTAACGGTGAATTAAAATAGCCCATAACGGTTAACGAAAAAGGGCATGCAGACCCTCATAAATGGGATCTTGTCCTCTAAGTAAAGTTTAAGTTACAGTTATCAACAGAAAGGAAAATGTTTATATTAGCTTATGCTGACAAGGGTTTCTATATTAGTCCAGTATATACAGACTATAATGCTCTGGCGAATTGAAATCAACCAAGTCATCAGTTTTTCTTTTAGAAAGGAAAGTTTGAATAGGATCAGTCTAGGTTGGTTTAGAAGTTTGAAACATGACAGTGCAAAGTGTAGATTAGGTTGGTTTTGGTTTGGAACAACTGTACTAAAAGCCCTATAGAACAGCTAGTCTGCATAAGATGGTAGGATACTAGTATCTAAGAATAGTGACAATAGCTACTGAACAACTTGGGTGTCTACTATGGGATGTATATTTGGACTAGCCTTCACATGTAAAGATGGAACAACTTGTATAAGTACATTGTCTCTTTTCACTGAATAGATAAGTTACGTATTGTGGACAGACTTGCTTATCCATTGAAAAGTGGTGCGTAAGTTTCGGGCGTTTTTACAATGGCTATGAATTAAGGTTGAGACACTGTACAATGTTCCTGCTATTCATTTGTTTTGCTTTATTTGTCGTGAAACAAATTTTGGGCAAGGAGGATGTATCTAACTGGAACCTATCTTTCAGTAATCTGTCCTAAAGATTAGCATCAGACAACAAAGGCAAAACAGATGTTAGCTGTACGGCCTCAATTTCCCCTTTCTTCTTTTTCTTTAGGAAGTACGCATTGGCTTTACTGTACATTGTTTTTAAGCTGTATTAGCTTTATTGGTTTCAGCCATCCTTTTCACAATAGATTTTCCCACAAATAAGAACAATAAGTAGCATGATCTAGGCTAAATAGCCATGTCAATTATGCTAATTCTTTTTCAAGGACCCCTATCCCTGTGGATTGAACATTTCCCATGTTAAAATTTACATATTTCTGTTTTAGTAATTTGTGAACTATGAAGAGTTTTGAAAGTCGTATATCAAAGATTTCATGCTTTGTTGTAGTTGTTTCTTTTGATAATTTTGTTGTAACCTGAATGGTTATCATTACCCTAAGCATAGTATATTAGCAAGCCAGAAATTGTTGTAAATCCAGTAAAAAGCAACGTCTTTCTGATTTTTATTTTATTTTATTGATTGTCACTTTTTTTGGGGTCTTAACTGCTACAGGTGGTTTGTACTAACAGAAGAGGTCATAGGTCAAGGAAAGAGTGTATAAATAAATTGAAGTGTAATTGGCAGTTGAGCCAAGCAATTATAGAACTGTGCTTTCTGTCATGTTAGGGTCATTCTGGGGTTGTCCGGGAAATTATACAGTCAATTTCATCAACTTCTTGGGTCAGGGGTTGATGTGTCCCCTCAGCTGTTTCTGTCATTTTGGTTGTTTTGACAGGAAAAACAGGCCAAGTTTTCTGGTTTTACATGATTTGCAGGTGTGGTTATGGAGGTTTTTAAATAAAGGGTTATAAGGTCTATATTTGATTGATTGCTGCTGCTTCTATGTGAATATTAGGGATTTTTTTGCACACGTTATGAATTTTGTCCCAGTTGTGAAAGCTTTTGATTCTCGTGAAATACATGCTACTATTTTGGTCTCTTTGATATTGATGTAGACGGCAAATTGTCAGTAGTGCTTCTTTTGGTTTTACTGTGGATCATCATAAAATTGGTTACAGAAATACACAAAAAAAAGTCACACAAACACACATTGTACATAATAACACACTGCTTTTGTCAAATGTTATAAAGTCTTAAATCCATGTTAATGTGTCTGTAGGTATAATGATTACCAGATGTCCATCAAATGATAATGCTATCTGAATCAGACAGTTTCTCAGTCTACACATATCATCCAACCATTGGTCAAGGCCAGAGTTGTCCATGGTTTCCATGGATACTCAACTGATGTCTCTGATTTATATGACAAAAATTTTAGCAATTCTGTATGACGTTTTCATCATGTTATACCAATGGTGTCACGAAACGAAACATGAAGCCTTTCAAAAATTGACTCTCAAATGCTTTTTTTCAGAGGTTTGGAAACTCTGAAATTTTCTCCCTACTTCTTACAATAAATCTCGTAATATTCACGATGGTCTAATTTGTGACATCTCCAATGTAAAAACATGACTCAGCAAATATATGATTTCTACAACTATACCGTATACGTAACTGTTTCAACTCTGAGCTTAAAACTCTAAGAAAAACTCCTTTTTCCCCTGGCGGCAAATTTAAATCCCAGCAAACTCACAGTGCCCAAAACTCTCTGAAAGCTCCCTCAGGTGTCCCAGGTGGTTTGTGGAAAGTTGTGGAGATCAGAGGTCAGACAAACTTGGGCGGAGCTGTTGGTTTGAGGGTCAGGAGGCTGACAGTTTGGGGCCAGGGGGATTTGTACCTGCTGGTGTTCATCAGGCAGCAAGGTCCTGCTGCATCCAAGAGAACTGTGTAAGGAAAAATGTCTAGGAAAAACAAAGGAAAACTGCTTAGACAGTAAACAAGGCATTTCCCAAAAAAATTGGGTCACTTCCTTAGAATTATGGTAAATTAAAACCCTTGTCCTGCGGAGCCCAACAATTGTTGTTTTGCACATCAAGTACCATCTATAGCACTCTGTATAGGTACAACTTGGGGATATTTCTCATGCAACGCATCACAACGGAACAAAGTAACTATGCCACCACAGGGCAAAAAAAGTTTTGCGTATATGACCTAATTAAGACAGGAAATAATTGAAAAATATTGTGTAAAAAGTGTCAGCAGAACAAGGGTTAAAATTACTTAAATACTGTAACTTGTAAGAGTTTGTGGTGGTTTTTGTCAATTCATGGTTTTTGAGGTGACCATGTACCACAAAATTATGACACTGCAAATGTGTGTTTTGTATCAATATGTTTTGATAGAATTGTTTGGAAAGAAAACTTAAAATGCCATTAAAAAAACTCCTTACCCCTTCTTCTTCAAAATATCTGGGAAAACAAGTTTACACTAGTTTGCCTTACTGCTTACCTTCAGCTTATGAAGAACGCAGTACAAGGCTTATGTAGGTGCAGCCAGTAAGACATTAGAAACACTTGCACAACTCAAATCTGCAATAACTGGTATATACCGGTGGTAATTCTAGCTTTGTTGAAAGGCATGACTTTGCGGAGTGGGAGGGGCACCATGTAGAACACCTGGATAGAATTACTGACTGTAATGATGAATATCTGACAGTAATCCCCTAATTATGGTCTATGGAAGAGTGACTGACCACTGACCAGAAAAGAAACAATACAAAATGAGTAGATGTATAATTACCATTCCTGACAACTTTTGGTCAAAAAGCTCAGCCGCATAGTGATTTTGGCACTCCTACTTTGTATGTAGCATTTCTGGAAAAAAACAACAAATGTCTTTCATTGTGTAGATTCTGTTTGATGAACTCAGTTTATGTCAGAATAGAAAGAAGGAAAAACTTGAGATTGTCTTTTACTTCCCAGCTCCTGATTGACTGATTCAGCTTTTCTGTCAGTAAAAAAAAAAGGAAAAACTTGAAATACTTATGATAAACTTTTACTTCCAGATACTGACTGACTACTGCAGCCTTGTTCTTTCAGAATAAGTTTTGAAAAAGTTGAAATGCTCATGATGGTCTTTTCCTCCCCAGATACTGACCGTGCGGTCGAGCTGCCAAGATTTCCTCGCAGGAGAACTGGGGAAGCCCCTCCGCCTCGGCGGGGGCGGTGGACTCCAAGTCGGACATCGACGACGGGACGGGATGCGAGGACGCGGAGGGCGTGTGGAGCCCCGACATCGAGCAGAGCTTCCAGGAGGCCTTGGCGATATACCCACCCTGCGGGAGAAGGAAGATCATCCTATCAGACGAAGGAAAGATGTATGGTAAGTGCTGATTGGTTGATTCATCTGTAAGGATGAATGTGATTGGTTGATGTGTCTTGGAGATGTACCCATCTTGTGGAAGAAGAAAAACTTATCCTACAAGATGTATGCCAAGTGCTGATTGGTTGTTGCGTCTGTAAGGATGGATGTGATTGGTTGATGTTGTTTCAAGAAAAGACGTGGCTTGGAGATGTACCTATGTCTTGGAAGAAGAAATCTTATGCTACAAGACAAAAGAAAGATGTATGCCAAGTGCTGATTGGTTGCTGCAAAAGTAAGGATGCTTGGTATAGGTCAACATTTTGACAGGGTGGCAAAAATGTCAAAGATGACACTTAAAGGTAAGTGCCGATTGGTTGCTACACTTGGAAGGATGTGTGTGATTGGTTGATTTTTTTTCAAGGAAAGACATGCCTCTGAAATATTAACATTTTACCCACAGATCTTGTTTAAACCCAGCATTTGAAAACATCTTGCAGTTTTTTGTTAACTTTAGCTGGTTCCTCTCAAAGAAATTTGATACTGCCAGCCCTGGCCCAGTTTAAATGATGTATGGCAGGTTCAATGACATATATGTAACCTTGACAGGTGCTATGTATTTGTGGACCTGAACGCTCAACTTTGACCTCACAACTTCCTGTGTACAAATGCTGACATTTTCCTTGTCAACTCAAATGATATTCAACATTCGTTACTCAAGGTTGGGGTTTTAAAAACTTGTTCTGAAATATGTAGTCTTCCTGATGCAAGCTTTCATTGCCAATATAAAGAATAGCCTCTATCAAGCAAAAAGTATGAAGAATGGACAAAATAAAATCAATTGCTTTTTTAGCTGTTTTGTCACTAAACAATGAAAGGTGGTAACAGGTTAATGCTAGAGGACCTTGTACATGTATTTGTGCAGTAAAAGATTTTATCATTTAGATTAGGCATTAAAGAATTTTGCCATGCTTTGTACAGTAAAGATCATGTTCTTGTATCTGTTATCAAAATTCAGAAGAAATGAGGAAGAGAATTAATTGCTTTTCAAGCTGTTCTGTCACCAAACATGCCCACTGGGTTAGCTGGGGATCTCCTACTGTAGATTCATTTGTTTGTGCATTTTGAGAGAAACAGATTTTCAAGATGTTTTAAATTTGCAATTGAAACAATTCTGTAGTGCATTGGAAATACATTTTGTGGTGTCAATGAATTCACTGGAGAAAAAATCACTGCATGAATCCTTAGAAAATAAAACTACCGTGAAAATGTTGAGATGTACAGTATTTGTGCTGTGTTAATGAAAGCTACAAGCAGCGTGAAATTTGTAATCTGGGGACAAATCTCTGCATCAGTCCCCTTAATTACAGGAACCTAAGCGGAAAGTGGCCTGGTTAGTCCCAGGGGAACCCACAGGCAGGAGTTCACCCCCAAGGCATATCATGCAGGCCTGGGTCCAATTCAGCTGTTCTCTGCAGGAAGGGCACACCAGGACTGATCTAGAGATGTTGACAGCAAAGAGTTCGAAGATCTCATACCTCCGTTAAATGTTGCTTCGTTTTTGTGGATTTCTTTCTTTGTTCATTACGTCATAAATGATTCTGTCCAGTCATTTTGCCACTGGCAAAAAAGTGCATACAGCAGGAAGTGGAAAGGAAATAAGATAATCGTTTTTGGGACCTTTGACCTAACTTCCTGTCAGTGTCCCTGATGTGCTTAGCATGTGGAAATAGCAAACTCTTGATTTCCATAGTACCATGAAATCCAAGTGTCACAATTTACTGTAATACAGGTAAAGAGAACTAAACAAAGGAATTAAGCCAACTACCATTCTATGAGATTAGAAGCAACATTTGGAATCGGTCAGTTAACACACCTGTGGATAGATTGAAAACTTCTTAATGGCCCATATTATCTTTCTTAGACTTGCTAAGCATCTGTAGAAAAACCTTTTTAGAATATATTTGAGTGGCTGCCTTTCAATATCAGTGAGTGCTTTTGTCAAGTAAGTCCCCTCCAAATAGATGGTGTCTAGCTTGTTTTTACAAACCCCCAAGAGCAGCACAGGTGAGAGAAATTCTGAGAAAATGAAACCTGATCTGGGCAGTATTACCTCATCAGTATTCACCTCGCCAGCCATGGATGAACAGGAGACAACAGGTTGGGCCGGCGGATTATGTGGGAACAGAGCGACTAGCCGCGGGCTATAACAGTCCACGCCTTTGTGCATGGGAAACTCTTGTTCTCATGGTAGTCTGTTAATGGTTTTATTTTAACGAAGCCAAGAAGAGCCGGAAAGTCTCCTACTTCAAACGAATCGCTTCCTACAAAGACCTACCTACTAACATATTGTAAAACTAACACACATATACATCTACAACTGTCGTAAAATAAGAAGTGAGAAGAAGTTGAAATTGTACATAGTAGTTGAACCAGTAGGTAGTAGTACACATCAGTATGTACAGTGAGATATGTCTGTAAATTTTGTACAGCAGGATATCTCTGTGCTTTATTCATAACTTGGATTTAGCTTGTAAGAGCATAAATGTACAACAAAGGTCTTACAATTTAGTTACATTCATTATGTGACAGATCCCCTTTAAGTTAGTATAACTCTTTTTCATATCCCTATACAATCTTACTTTTATGTTTTGCAAAAGTTAAATCACCACTTTGCCTAAATGTAGTCGTGCGAGTCTTATATTAGATCTTCTGAAGGATGTAAGACGTTATGTAAAAGTCTCAGGTCTTTATATACACTGTATCCCTGTAAGATTGGGAATAGGAAGAAGAAATCCCCAAGGCTGTCAGCAGTCTGAGCACAGTAAGACAGGTGACACACTGGTGCCCCATTAGGCCAGACTGACTCTGTTTTATGTTTGTCAAAAGTATAAAAAGAAAAGGAAATTGTGCTCCCTCAATCTATTGTAAATGCAGAAACTTCTGTGCTGGTTTTCATGGAGACCTCTTACTGTGAAATCATAACACTACACATACATGTTTGATAGTTGTACTGTACTACAGAATTGTTTTGCTCCTTTTTCGTCCAACCAGAATAAAAGGTAAATGCCACTACGGTACTTAAATATTACATAATGCCTTGCTTGTAAGATAAAAGATTGCAGCATTGCCTAAGTCAGAAATGCACACAAAAAAGAGCTGAAAATTCAAAATGTTTGGAACAAAGCAACCTACCTCTTGAAAGAACAAAATACAAGGTTTTCTTTATTACACCACATTTTTTACAAACTTTTGATTGCTTTAGATTTCAGAATTTAGGCTTCTCTGTTTTTGGCCTTCTAAAGTTTTTTTCTGCACGCTCGCATCAGTTTTGGTTGTCCATAAGGACGTCACCCACAAAACGAAGCCGGTGAGGCCGTACTAAAAACACCAGCAGGAAGACAAAACCATCAGGACTGTTACACCCTGGGGCAGAACCTTTGTCTGATCTGTGGACAAAACACAGGTACACTCATCTGTGATGCACTGGATGTTTAGGGTTGTTATGCAAAAGAGAAGACACAACAACAGTGTGCAGATGGAAAGAAAAATTACAATCTGTACAGTTTCCATGTACTTCATAATTGGTATGGATATGAGTGCACATGGACCTCTATTCACCAAGTAAAGAAGATTGTTTGACACAATTTGAGAAAGGGGGGCCCGCATGCCCTTTTACGTAGAGCGTAATCGGCTGTTTTAATTCTACGTTGAGCATAGACGGACCGTTCTAATTCAACGTAGAGCGTAATTGGTGCATTTTGCTTAGAGCTTATTCGCCGTTTTAATTCTACATTTTATTTTATGTGTTGTAGCCATTTGGAATAAAAGTGTAAATCGAGAGGATTCCTGAATTCAACGTATTACATAAATTTTAATCGTAAGGCCACACCAATTTGATTTGTTGGTTCTCGGATTTTTTTCAGAAAAAATATGAAGCGACAGGGCGAAAAAAAATAAAAATAAAAACAGGTCTAGGCATCCTATTATAGGCTTAAATGCTACAAAATGAGCCATGAAGTCAACACAAAAGGCTGGGTTAAAATTTAAACATTGAATTTTGAACTTTTAATCAAACCACTGCATTGATAGATGGAAAAACTGTAACAACTAGGAAGAAAAGGACTTTCCTCAACTGTTAGGGGGCAAAACATGAGCATATCCAGTTGATTCAGGACCAGAATCAAATTTTTTTTTTTTTTGCAAATCAGAAAAAAACGAAGAGGCGAATCCGAGAACCAACAAATTAAATTGGTGTGGCCTAATACTCAAAATTTAGCGTACAGCATTGTCGGGACCCCCCATGCAGGCCCCCAGTAAGCTATGATGAGTTGCTTTATTCTGAAAATCATATAATTTTCTGCATATAACTATAACCCAAGAAATTACGCTTTAATGTTTAGCACTACAGTATTACCAATGGTGGACTTTAGTTAGGAGTTTTGTAACTTGAAAGGTCAGATGTTGGGTTTGCATACAGAACAAGATGGAAAGATTGTGGTTGAAGCCTTCCTTTGTGTTTCTTAGCAACAAGAAAGATAAAAGAAGGAGCAAAATGCCACTTAACAAGTTCAAACATAAACTTCCCCCCTCTTTGAAAAGCTGTGTGCTTAGCGAGGATTATAAACATTTGGTCTTTTCCTTTTTATTTTGTTCTTCTTTAAAGTATTTCGACTTGTAGTGGCCAAGGGCTAACATGAAAACATTAGAACCCACTAAAATGAGATTAAGTTATTTAATGGTATATACAAGTAAGTTTTCCATGACCATCTTGAGTTCAGAACAGGCCCAACAAAACAACTGATCCAGAACTGTACATAAGCAAGGTGACAGATGTTTCACCAAATGGTCTGATGTGTTCCAAGATATGCAAAATCGCCAAGGTCATGTATTATTCCTAGACATGTGGGGGATACAGTCTGTGGGTTTGCAAGTGTTCGAGGTTACTCCCATATTTGCATAGCTGAGGTGCATAGTCCTCTTGTCCTGTTATAGTTTTTGGTATACATTTTGGTAAAACA